AAGCCCCGTGTTGGGGTCTGAGTTGGCAGCAGGAGCCTGCTTGGGATTTTCTCTCTCTCCCTCTCTCTCTGCCCCTCCCCCACTTGTTCTCTCTCTCTCTCTTAAAATAAATAAACGTCAAAAAAGTATTGATTGATTTATTTTTAATGTTTACTTATTTTTGAGAGAGAGAGAGAGAGAGACAGAGTGCAGGCGGGGAAGGCACAGAGAGAGAGAGAGGGAGACACAGAATCCGAAGCAGGCTCCAGGCTCCGAGCTGTCGGCACAGAGCCTGACGCGGGGCTCGAACTCACGAACTGCGAGCCGAACCTGAGCCGAAGTCGGACGCTTAACTGACTGAGCCACCCAGGCGCCCCAACATTAAAAAAATTTTTTTAAACAAGATAGCTGTGGCCCCTGCTTCACGGAGCTTATACGCTAAGCTCACTGTCCGGGAGAAGACCAAAAACTTAATTAGCTTTCATTCCAAAATGAAATCATCTTTTAAATTCTGGAAAGAGCGTCAGGAAAAGGAAACCAGGCGACCAGGTAGAGGGGGGCCTGAGGGGAGCAGCGGGGGAGGAGAGGGTCTCGGGGGCCTGCGTCTCAGGCCCCTCCCTTCTCGGTCCAGACCTACAGGACATGTCCCTGGTGACCCTGAACACGAACACCCCCAGGGACTTCTTCGCCAGGCACCAGCTGCTGCTCCATGTGGCCAAGTCGGAGATGGACAAAGTCAGGGTGTTCCAAGCCAGCCGTGAGTCACCCTTGGCTGTCATCTTGGTGTCCCCTCCCCGCCCCGGGACAGCCCCTTCACACCCCCCTTTGATGACTAATTCCTGAACCCCTATTAGGTAGCACGTTCTTAGGGCCAAGGATGCAGCGGTGAGCAAGGTGGACGTCTATGCCGCTACCTTCTAGAAAGGACACACAGATGATGTGCAGACAAACACTAACATGATGTCTGGTGCTGGCGAGCACTGAGGAAATAACCCCTCCACCCCCCCCCCCCCCCCCCCCCCAGGCCTGCTGTGTTTGTGTCTGTCTCCTCCCCTCCGCCGCGTGCACACACGCGTGCACACACGCACACACACAGAGGACTCTGGTTTACGGGGACTGTCGAGCCCAAGCTGACGGCATCAAACTTTGTCCTCCAGCATCCTCCTGACCAAAGACAGCATTAGCTTCGCAGCAGCTCGCACCTGCTCCTGAGCGCCGGGCTTGTTTGAGGCACGGGGCCCGGAGCAAAGCACATAGAAACGCCTCTGCCCCCGGGTCGCTTTCCTCTTGGTGGGTTGAGAGACAACGTATAAAATAAGTAAGTGAAGCAGCTAGTGTGAAGAAGAACGCCACCAGGAAGGGGGTGTAGATGAGGGGTAGGGTCTGGGGGTGTGAGGAGAGGAGGTTAGGGAACGCTTCCTCCGTAAGGTGTCACTTGAGCAGCAGGGGTGGGAACAGCCACACAGACACTCAGGGGAAGGGCACTCCAGGCAGAGGGAACCGCAGGAGCAAAGGCCCCGGGTGAGGCCGGATGGTGCCCGGATGGGCTTGAGGAAGGCAGGGAGGCCAGTGAGGCTGGAGTGCAGGACTCGGGGTTAACGTGGCAGATGAGGGTGGAGAAGGAAGGGGAAGGGCCGGCTCAGGCAGGCGGGGAATGACTCTGCCTTCTAGTCTGAGGGAGGCGGCCGAGGCCATCTGAGGGCTCTCGGCAGAGGCACAGCTTGATCTGACTTGCTTCCATTCTAGACCAAGGTGATCAGACTGACGTTGACTTGGTGACAAACCAATTCTTTGCCTCTGCTGAGGCGTCACCTCCTCCAGGAAGCCTTCCCTGGCCCTCTGGGTTTCCCCCCCCCATCACAGCACTTACTACCCTCTGTGATTTTGACCGTCTCTGCTCCTCGTCACTCACCCAGGAGACTGTGACCACCTCCCTGGTCTCCCCCAGTGTCAGCCGAGAGCTGGGGCTCAGGAATGAATGAACGAATGAATGAATGAATGAATGAACCATAATGTATAGCGGACCTGTATGTATATGTTCGGGAATGGCTCAGGGACCCCCGCCCCGGTCACTCCATCCCTGCAGCCCCAGCCAGGGGGCGATGTCCCAGCTGACACTTTAGGTTTCTTTCTCTGAGTGGCTATGACATGTCTTCATGGCAGCGGTGGCCCCGAGAAGGCATCGCAGCACCGGGGAGAAGCAGACCTGGGCCTCCCTTCTCTCTTCTAGGAGGCAATCAGATCTCCAGGTACAGGGAGGTCCTGGGGCCAAAGCAGCCCTGTCACCCCCTGGAACTCCCGGGGGGCCAGCACAGCACAGACTTCTATGTGGAGGGCCTCGCTTTCCCAGACGCCAACTTCCCGGGGCTCATTTCCCTCGCCGTCTCCCTACTGGACACATCCAACCCGGTAGGCCAAGATGGCAGCCCAAGGGGGAAGCTGAGTCACCAGGCGGGGGGTGGGGGTGCGGAGCCCAGCCGGGGAGGAGGCTCACACAGCCTCTGGGAGGAAGCAGGTGTCTGGGAGGAAGGAGGCACTGGCTGCTGCAATAGCCCTTCCCCCACCCACACCTCGCAGGAGCTCCCCAAGACCCTGATTTTCCAAGACAGTGTGGTCTTCCGTGTGGCCCCCTGGATCATGACCCCCAACACTCAGCCCCCTGAGGAGGTGTACGTGTGCAGGTGAGGGCTCTGGGGTGCCAGTGGGCGGGGCACAGGTACGCCAGGAGGGGTCCTGGGTTCTGGCCGCAGGCCCCCCCGCCCCCCCGCATCTCTGCTGGGCCAATGGGGGGAAATGACCCTTATCGCAGCGTACTGAGGGCTCCCGGCCGGTTGGGAATTACCGTGGCTACTGTTTTGTCCTCGCTGTCCTGCCCTAATGCACGCCGCGTGCGGCTTTCTCTCCTGAAGGACTGTAGAATTCGCTAGGCCCGGCAGATGAAAACCCTCAGTCGGTGAGCCAGGCTTCCCGGGCTGCTGAGAGGGCGGCCTGCGGACCTTCTGCCGAACCAGAAACCATTTCAAATGCGTGTTCCGGGCCAACCCCAGAACCGCGGGGTCTTGGGTCTGGGGATGGGGCCCATCTGCCTTTTAACGAGCTGCTCTGGGTGTCCCCCTCCCCCCCCCCCAGCATCCACCCTGCCATCTGAGCGCACCTGTTAAGCATCCTGGGGTCTCAGGGGACCCTCCCCTCTCCTCTTCCAGTCGTTTCCAGGCAGAAGGGGTGAGGGAGTAACCTCGTGGGCAGGACGCGGGCTGGAAGCCGGCGAGGCCTGGGTTCAGATTGGGTGCTCGCCCCCGGATGGCATGACCTTGGGCCTTGACCTCCTCATTCTGGCGTCTCCTCCTGTTGGTTCCTCTCAGGGATTGTTGCAAGAGTTCAGTGAGATGTTTGCTACGAGCAGGGAGACCCGGAGAGCCGGGCATGTCCGTCCAGGCCCCAGGCATCTCCCCAGCAGCCCCTGTGCCCGTCCCCAACTCCATCCGGGCCCCAGCTCCTGCTCCACCCCTGGGGACCCTCCGGGGGCCCAGCTTGCCCCCTCAGAGCCTGGCCAAGGCCACCGGCTGCTGAATCCAGAGCCCTGAGGGGCTTCTTTTCTGCTCCTTCTAGGATGCTTGAGAACGAGGACTTCCTTAAGTCTGTGACCGCGCTGACCCAGGAAGCCAAGTGCCAGCTGACCGTGTGCACCAGGGAGCAGAGTGTGGGGGACCGGTGGATGCAGGTGTGCAGCCCTGTGGGCCAGGGGAGCTGGGACACGCGGGGTGGGTGCTCCTGAGGGTCAAGCGACACTGGGGGACCCAGGCTCCTGGGGCTGGGCCCGGCGGCTCACTGGCCACCGTCCCTCAGAGGGGCAGGAAGTGAGGAGCCCCTGAGGGTCCCCGCGTACGGGGGCCCAGGCCAGCGGTTAAACTGCCGTGCTCACCAAGATGAAAACCACCTGCCTGCCCGAAAACTCAGATGGCGTCTGGAAATGACGCGAAGCTCAGGGGACTGGAGCTCAGCGGGTCCCTCCAGTGGCCCTCCCTCCAAGCCAGGTTTCTGGACGCAGTCGCCAGCCTGGCCTCCCAGCCTGGTCACCCCTTACCTGGTGCCAGCCTGCCGGCCGCACTGTATCTCCATTCTGCTTCTGTGCCAGGCTCCCCGCTCATGCCGTGAGCTCCCCGAGCTCAGGGACTGAGTCTCACTCAGCTCAGCACCCAGCACGTGGCATAGGGCAGTGGCTGTGGGCAGCCGGCGGGCTGGACCGAACCTCCTTGCCCCTCCCTTGCTTTCTCAGGCTCCTTGCCCTGCCATGCTGGTCGGTCGCCCTGCTCTGGCCTCAGTGCCTTTACTCTTGCCGCGGCCTCTAGCCACTGTCCTCCCCGTCCCCATCCCCCGCGTCCGGGTCACGCTCGCACCATCCCGGCTTGAAAGCTTCCCCTCCCCCAATTTCCCCATCCCTCTCCCAACCCCACGCATAAACCCTCCCTTCCTCTTGCGTCGTTCCGTGTTGAGTCGGATCGAATGGCATGAAATTGCTGATGGCACATTTTTGACCTACAGGAGTGGTAATTCCGGGGGGTTCAGCCTAAAAGTAGTCTCATCCGTCCGCCAGAACGCGGGCAGGACTTGAGTTCATTGCCAAGCCCTTTCTGCTTCTGCCCCACGGGCGAGGCTGGGTCCGACCTGCCCCCTTTTGGGGGGGCGGGATCTCGTGCTCCCACCTCAGGCCTCAGCTTAGCAGAGCATCAGGAGCCCCTCCTGGGTGTCCCCACAGACCCTTACGTCCCCGCCCAGCACCTCACACTGGGTGCGAGGTGCCCAGCTTCCTGAGGGCAGGGTCTGAGGCTCGCTCACCGGGTCCCCGGCACCTGCAGCACTGGGTCCCAACACTCACCAGGAGTGGGGGTGAACTTGTTGGGGCAAACACAGGATAATAAACTCCGCTTCCTCAGAGCCCCTTCTCTGGGGTGGAATTTGCCCTTGACCACGGCGTGGGAGGGGGACAGATGGTTCTGCGCCCACCCCCACCCCCCGATCCCTGCACTGGGTATCACAACCCAGAGAGCACGCGTTTCAGCCTTCCTTCCACTCGCCCCACACACAGGACGAGATAGAGGTCGGCTACATCCAAGCCCCGCACAAGACACTGCCCGTGGTCTTTGACT